TGCTTAATGCAGGCCTGGGCAAAATACGGCCTGTGGGCTGGATCTGGCCCACCAAGTCATCAGATCCGGCCCACGGATGCTGCAGGGAGCCCCAGAAAGGCTTCTCGCTTCCCTCACCCCCCCCTATATGCTGCTCAGAAATGTGGCTGCAGGGTGGTTTCACAAAGCTTTAGGAGCTTTTCCCGCCCCCAGCACAATCCCCAACAGGAGCTGCCTGTTTCAGTAAGAGGCACCACAAAGCACAAGGGGCTTGTAGTTATACACAGAGCACATGGCTGCAGCTGGGGCAGGGGCAGGGCAGGCAAGGAGGGACGCTGATTCAGGAAAGGGCTGCTGGCTGTTAAGTCTCCTGGCCAGAGCCTGCCTCTGGCATCCCAGCCCCACCCTTCCCTAACTCGCTACCCCCTACTCCACATACCCATATCCAGAACCCCTGCCCTAGGTCATAGTTCACTCCTGCCCTAGCTCACAATCCAACCCCCAGTACCCCAGTCCAGTGCCCCAGGTCATAACTGCCTCCTTCACCCAAACTTCCTCCCTTATCCCAAGCTCCCTTCTGCACCTAACCTCCATCCCAGACCCCGCACCTCTTTCATTAATATCATGGAAGAGTGCAGCCCTCAACCACTTTCCAATTTCTTGGAGTGGCCCCCCCATGAAAAATTATTGCCCATCCCTGGCTTAATGGGACTAAATCGGGAGGCCTGGGTATTAAAGGAACTGACACATGAAATAGCAAGCCCAATAGCAAGGATTGTTAATCTGTAAATCCCGGAGTCATACCCTATGACTGGAGAATTGCTAACGTAGTCCCTATTTTTAAAAACGGGGAAGTGTTCCAAGAAACTACAGGTCTGTTTGTTTGACCTCAGTTGTAATGAAGATAATTGGAGTAAAACACAGCAAGGTTTTATAAAAGGCAGATGGTGCCAGAGCAACCTGATCTTCTTTGAGACATTAACTGATTTATTTAGACAAAGGAAATGCAGGAGAGCAGATTTGTTTGGATTTCAGTGAGGCATTTGATACAGTTCCATGGGGGAAATTGTTAGTTAATTTGAAGAAGGTAGGGATTAATAGGAGCTTGGAAAAACAAATAAGAAATGTGTTAGGGTGTGACCACAATGGGTCTTTCTGAAAAGTGAGCTGTCAGGCTGGTGGGAGGTTACTAGTGGAGTTCCTCAGAGTTTGGTCTTGGGACCAATTTTGTTTACCATTTTTATTACCAATCTTGGCACAAAAAGCGAGTGTGTGCTAATAACATTTGTGGGTGACACAATGTGGTGAGATATTGCCAATATAGAGGAGGTCTGAATTTCGTACAAGATCTCGGCAACCTCGCCAAGAGTGAGGTCATGCACTTAAGAGATTAACACCAAGAATTTTGCTATACATTGGAGGTTTATCAGTGGGAAGCAACAGAGGAGGAGAGAGGCCTGGGTGTATGGACTGTTCATGGTCCTCCTGTGATCATTGTGATGCAACTATGAAAAAAATTAACACTGTCCTAGGAGGCATCAAGCAAGTGATTTCCGGTACCGACAGGGAAGTGTTAATATCATTCTACAAGGCACTGGTGAGACTTCATCTGGAATACTGTGCGCAGTTCTGGTCTCCTGCATGGAAGAAAGATGAATTCAAAGTGGAGCAGGTGCAGAGAAGGGCTCTGAGATTGCTGTGAGGAATGGAAAACCTACCTTATGAGAGGTGACTCAAATGCCTTCGCTCCTTTAGCTTAACCAAAAGAAGGCTGAGAGGAGATGCGATTGCTCTCTAAATACATCCGAGGGATAAATATCAGGGAGGGAGTGAAGCACCAATGCGGACACATGAACAAGTCACTATAAACTGATCATCAACAAGTTTAGACTAAAAAATGGGAGCCGAGGAGTAAAGTTCAGGAACCACTTTCCAAGGGAGCAGCAGGAGCCAAAACGTAACTGGCTTTAAGACTCAGCTTGCTAAGTGTCTGAAGGGGCTGGTCTGACTGGACTGCCTATGATGGCAGGCAGCTCATCAGTTTCAGAAATCCCCGGTGCCCAGAGTTACAATGGAGATTTTTCCCCCCAAGTATCTGCCTGGCAGGCCTTGCCCACATGCTCAGAGTCTATCTGATGACCCAATGTGGAGTCGGAAAGGAATTTTCCCCTGGGTCAAATTGATAGAGATCTTGCGGGGGGAGAGAGGGGTGTCAGTTCCTTTGAGCACGGGGCACTGGTCACTTGCAGGTTTAAACACTGTAAATAATGGAATCTTTATAACTTAGTCTTTAAAGCAGGGGTCGGCAACCTATGGCTTGCGAGCCATATATGGGTCTCGCGGCTCACGCTCAGCCCCCCCTCACTCCCACCCCACAATGTGGAACTCGTGCTGGTGATCCAGCATCAAGCCCCCCCGCAAGATTGGAGCCAGTCCTGGCTTTCTGGGAATGAGGGGAGCCCCGAGGCTCTGTGCATGTGTGCTGCTCCTCCCCTCCTTACAGCAATGTGAATGCTTCCTTATCCCCTCTGCCCTCCCCCGTGCTCTGGGGAGGTAGGACATGGGAGCAGCGTGGCTCCGGCCTGGTGATCACCAGGAGTGCTCCTGGCTGCACTGGATGTTGTGGTGGTGTTCACTGAGCGTGCAGGCGCTGCGGGGGGAGGGGGGGAATGCCTGAAATGGTGATGGAGGATCTGGGCTTGGGGATGAGAGTGGCTGGATTTCTTCAAGGGGCAGCATGTGCACTTCTTCCAGCACTGCCAGCTGATCCTGCCCAAGAGATACTCAACCCTGCAGACCAGCAGGCTGAGCTGTTCCTGCTCCCTCCCTCCGGCTAGAAACCTACCCCCAGCTTGCTCCTGCACTCTGCCTCCCACCCAGTTTCTGCACCCCCATCCTTATCCCACTCACTGGCAGCTGTGTCCTGCACACTGTACCCCTCATTTTTGGCCCCACCCCAGAGCCTGCGGGGGGGGGGGCACAAAATCCACTAATCCTGGAACCCCAGAAGAGTTAACCTGGCCTGAGGCCTCATAAGATAATCAGTCCTCCCTGCCCTTCCCCCCCACATGGCACTGGAGTACCAGGGGAGCGAGGTGTCTCAACTGCGGGCCACATCCATGAGGGTTGGAGGGTTTTGGAGGGGTTGTTTCTTTGGTTCTCACTTGTGTGGTCCCCAACTGATTTTTCTGTGGGACAGTGGCCCCCAACCCAAAAAAGGTTCCCCACCCCTGCTATAAATAAAGACAGTGTTGAAACTTTTTGTGTTGGACGTATTTTACTTTATTTAAAAATGAAGCCTGGCCAACAAGCCCCCAATTCATAACGCCCCCACACACCCAGTCCTGAGCTCATCATACACCTGAAGCCCTTGCCCTGAGCCCCTCATACTCCCACATCCCCAGCCCTCTGCCATAACACTCCTGCACCACCCACACATCCCAAACCTGTGCCCTGAGCCCCTTGTACATTCCTCCCCCCTGGCCTGAGTCCCTCATACCCCCATGCCCTGAACCCCTGCCATAAGATTGATAGAAGACTGCCTGAATGCAAGCATGAAGCTGGGATTTGACCAGTTCTGTTGTAAACTTCAAAGAAACGTGCGAAAAGATGCAGCAGCATTAGTCCCATTAAATAAGGTCTGTGAGGATAATGTTTCATTTACGCTATTTTTAATCATTATGTCCAGGGCTTGATGAACGGCGGCGAAAGTCGCTCGCCAGCCCCGCACTGTGCATGCACGAGACCTGCATTGTGCATACGCACACCGCAAATGAACGGGGCACCCGGCTGAAATCTACTCGCCACAGGCGAGTAGATTCAATACTTTGTCGAGCCCTGATTATGTCAATTCTCAATAATAAGTTGTCTATTTTCAGTCATGCCAATGGGCATTCTTATGCGGCTCTTTGCTGACCACTTGTTCTGAATTTTGATGTAGTTTGGTTCTTCCGTTTGAAAAGGTCGCCAACCCCTGCTTTAAACCATGATTAGAGGACTTCAGTAACTCAGCCAGCGGTTAGGGGTCTGTTACAGAAGGGGGTAAGAGTCTGTGGCTTGTAATGTGCAGAAGATCCAACTAGGTGATCCAGATGTCTCTTCTGACCATAAAGTCGGAGTACGAGAGCGTCACTAGTTGAAGCCTTGCACCATGTTTAGGTCATCTATGTATCTTATGGTCATGATTTTACTCAGACACTGCACGGTGGTTAACTTTCTAACAAAGGATTGTGCGTCCACGTGTGTGACCAGTCCAGTCTGACCGATCCTTAGGCCTCTAGCTTCTAATGGGTTGAGGCGATGCAAGTAATGGCAAATCCAAACAGAAGTGTTTCTATAAGTTCTGTTTAACAGTCATTGGTATGCTCTCATTTTGAGTACTGGGCTTTAAAATGTGTGCAGCCAAAAGAAATCTGATCTCCGTCTTCTTTAATATTTTACACACAGTTCTTGATGTGCTGTTAAATTTTAAAATGAGTTGTGCTGCTTTTTGTGTTTGCAAATACATGCAGGACATTACCTAAGTGACACTAAATTAAGATTGTGAATAAATGTCAGATCATCACAGTCAGGGCTAGAAAAATCTTGCCCTTGGGATCCGAGCCATCAAATTATTTAGACTCTAATTTTTAAAAAAAACTAGTTGTTGCCATTGGAAAGAAAATCATTTTAATGTGAAGTAGCCACATCTTGCGGAGACTGCTAGCAGGGATACTGCTTATAGATTTCTCAAGCAGCAAAGTGAAACTAACAGTTCCAGTGCTGCTCCATAGAGCTCAGTGGGCAACAGTGAAAGTGACAAGAATGATACAGATTCACTCTGAAGCATCTTGGGAAGGCATTCCCTACCCTGGAGCTCTTGCCCCAGACCTTTGTGTGAACCCCTCCTTCACCCTTAAAAACCTTTCATGTTGGCCTTTGGCAGGTAGACATCAAGATTTTCACATCCTTCCTGTTAGTATCTGCTGTAGCAGTGCTGGTCTCCTCTGCCTTCCTTTAAAAAAAAATGTCCTCTCTTCTAGTGTGTCCAGACCTTGTAGACAAGTACTTGGAAGAGACATCCATTCGTTACGTGATGCCCCGAGCTCACAGCGACACAGAACATGGTCTCGCCCACCCCCACAAATCAGGTAAGACGTCAGGACTGCTGCCTAATACCAGGTTTTGCTGGAATCCTTGGTCACAAGCAGTTGGGATCTCCTAAGGCTTATGCATCGCTGTGTTGTAGGTTAAGTGTGGATTATTAGAATAGTCCTATTTTGCCTTGACCTCCTTGTCTGCATTCCTTTCCTTCCATGCCACTAAATTCTTACTGTATTGGAGCTGATGCATATTAGACCCTGTTTAGAGATGCTCTAGTTTAACCAGTAGTTTGGGGCAGGAATTGCTGGAGGACATTCTCTTATCTGTGTTATGCAGAGGTTGGATGATAAGTGTGGATTATTAGAATAGTCCTATTTTGCCTTGACCTCCTTGTCTGCATTCCTTTCCTTCCATGCCACTAAATTCTTACTGTATTGGAGCTGATGCATATTAGACCCTGTTTAGAGATGCTCTAGTTTAACCAGTAGTTTGGGGCAGGAATTGCTGGAGGACATTCTCTTATCTGTGTTATGCAGAGGTTGGATGAGGTGATTGTAATCTTGACCCCCCCCCCCCCCCTCCAACCCCCCCCCAA